CATCAAAGAACGAGACATACGCGTATGGGCTTCCGGCACGTCCCCCGTCACCCTACGACAATCCTAAGAGAACGATGGAATGGCGCGAACCTCGCGATGAAACAGAGTACGAATATCCGAGAAACGTGTACTCCGCGTACACTAGATCGCGTTATAATTCTTCGCCACGTAGGGAAGATAGTAGAAACAGAGGAAACAATAGAGACAATTACGATTATTACGATTATTACGATTATTACGAACCTAAGAACCGATATCCGCGTCCCCGTCTTGTGTCACCCTACAACAACCGACGCCTATGGTCGGAAGAGCCACCCGAGCGACGCGAGTCATACGAACCGATACGCTATCAAGACGGCACGCGCCAACGACGTGCCGTTCCAGTGAAGAGATACGAGCGAAATTTTTCTCCACCAAGGCAAGGAAGGAGTGCGTCGCGAAACCAGACGCCACCGAGACGTACACAACACTATGATGAATCGCAACAAGATAGGGCACCACGCCAACAATACAGAGAATATCGGAGTCAGACAAAACATTTAAACTCCTACGGCGCCCGCTCACGCAACGACAACAGAGCGGGCGCAGACCGCGCGACCTCCTCAAATTCGAGGACGGTAACCTTCAAGAACGAGACCCCGAGGACCTCCGAGAGGCACCCGCCCCGCGAATTCGCGTTAAAGCGAAGGAGTTGGGGGCAGGAGAAGGCGAATTCTTAATTGATACGGGAGCCGCATTAAGCATAGTAAAATTAGATGCAGTTCACCCTGACGCACCCGTCGTTAATCGCGACCGGTTCGAAATAGAAGGATTAAAGGGAAAAATTCATACTGAGGGCGCCACTTGTATGAAAATTAACGGTAGCTGGGCGCTATTTTATGTTGTTAAAAATTCAAATTTACCTCCAGGAATATCAGGCCTAATAGGTAGTTTGTATCTCCTACAAGAACAGGCCTCTGTATCGTATTTTCATCGCTCGTTAGTAACGACTAGTCGCCCGATACACCCGATACGATTCTCTAATTCAGCCGCGATGAACGATGCTCTTCGATCGTGCGAAAGGGGACGAGAAACCTTGCAGGCTTTCCTCGCTGAACACCCAGAATTAGAAAACGAGTCTGAGGAAAATTTGGAACAAGCACCTCCACCGCGTCCTCTCATACCGCTTTCAGAGGAACAGCTCGCTGAACACGAAGCATATGATTTGGGAGAATATAAAATCAGCTACCCCTTCCCTGACGAACGATTAGATAATATCATGGACAAACTAAAAATAGATCATTTAGACAACGCGGCACACAATCTGGTAATAAAGGCAGTAGAGGAATTTTCCGACAGATTTTTCGTACCCGGTGATCCATTCGAAAAAACTGAGACAGCAACTCATTCAATCCCTACAACTGATTCCGTCCCTGTATATACACGGCAATACTCATTCACACCGTTTCAAGAAGAAGAAATTAAAAAACAAATTAGCAATCTTGAAAATTTAGGAATAATCGTTCCATCAAAATCTCCTTATAATTCTCCGCTTTGGGTAGTGCCGAAGAAAGCTGACTCCGCGGGAAATAAACGCTGGCGTATGGTAGTTGACTTTCACAAATTAAACACAAAGACAATAGAAGACAAATATCCCATTCCACGCATTTCTGATATATTGGATCGATTAGGAAAAGCTCGATATTTTTCGGTATTCGACTTGGCAAGCGGATTTCACCAGATTCCAATGACACCAGAAGATCAAGGGAAAACGGCATTTTCCACACCAGAAGGACACTATGAATATGTTCGCATGCCGTTCGGATTGAAAAACGCCCACAGCAACATTCCAAAGGTTAATGAATCAGGCATTACGAGGGTTAATTGGAAAGGAATTGTACGTTTACTTGGACGACGTAGTAGTATACTCTGAAACCCTAGAAGAACACGGACGCCGTCTCAGAAGGTTCTTTGACCGACTCCGCGAACACCATCTCACCTTGCAAACTGATAAGATCGAGTTTCTCAAGGAGAGAGTCGCATATCTAGGTCATATAATATCAGCTGATGGAGTACGACCAAATCCCGAGAAAATCAGAGCAGTATCGGAATTTCCGATTCCAAAAAATAGAAAGGGCCTTAAACAATTTTTAGGACTGGTAAATGACTATAGACGCTTCATTCCTGATATGGCAAAACGCGCAAAACCACTTACGAATTTAACCAGCATTAAGACCTCTTTCACTTGGACAGAAAGCCATCAGGCAAGCTTCGAAGACCTAAGACAAGCCCTATGCAAAGAACCGGTTTTGAAATACCCAAATTACGTTGAACCATTTATAATAACGACAGACGCTTCTGATATAGCGGTTGGTGCAGTTCTAAGCCAAGGAAAAATCGGACAAGACCCGCCAATCGCATACGCATCACAAGTAATCACGCGGGCCGAACAAAATTACTCTACCACGGAGAAAGAATGTCTAGCTATTATTTATGCAGTAAAACATTTTAGGATGTACATTTATGGACGGAAATTTTTCCTCGTTACCGATCACCGCCCATTACAATGGCTATTTTCGATTAAAGACCCAACATCGCGGCTCGCACGCTGGAGAATATTACTCGCTGACTACGATTATGAAATAGTTTACAAACCAGGCCGAGTAAACGCAAACGCAGACGCTTTATCGCGAAACCTCATACCACACGCTTTTCCAATTTCTCCAAATAAGAACGATACCGCCGAAAATGTCACGGATCCCGAGACAAATCAAGAAGGAATCGGACAACGGGTTAAAATGCGGCGGGAAGAACAACTGAGACCTAATTATGTAGAACCATTAACTGTTATTGTAGAAGAAACATTCAATGATAACGATCCTCCTTCGGCGAAAACACAAACGGAAAACGACCTAGAAATTGCCGAACCACAAGCAAATTCAACGTTAATGGGTATAAACGCAACGCGGCTAAAGGAATTCGGAAACGAGAGCGACGAAGACGAAAGAACTCAAACCTGCGATTCGATTTGGCTTAGTCCGGACTTCTCTAAGGAAGAGATAGATTTCTTGAACAGTATCAATGAGAAAATGGAGCCGGAAAATCTAGAAAGCCAGGGCGAAAGCATGAGGTCAGGCAGGGATGATGCACAGAAACTAGTTACAGCACCGAAACGCGTATCTTGGTTGCTGCCTCCACCTGAGGAAGCATTGAAAGTTCCCCAATCAACGATGATCATGCCAAATACTAGCGCACTTATGGATGGAAAGAATTCCAAGTCTGATACAATGGAAACACATCAGGAATCGTCTTCAGCAGAGTTAACGTCCGAATTCGACAAATTTATGGATAAAATGAAATCACTAGCTACATCAGAAACTTTTGGCTATTCAAGCCATGGCCACCCTCCGAAACAAGGACCAAGATCACGACCACAAGCAATATGCGAAGTAACCATTTCGGAATCAACACTTACATCTATTTCAGATAATTATGTCCATTTTATACCAGCCGATTGTATATTAACCAGTCAAATAAGTAAAACTTTCAAAGCACTCGGGTTACTTCAGGAAGCGAGCCTATTAACGAAAGATCTAATAGAAGGACAAGTAATAATTGTTCCTCACGAACAAGGGAAAATCCTTAACGTCATCGGAACAAAAAGCTTCTTCCACGAGATAAACGAATCAAAATTAGAACGCTTGCTAACCGTTCTCCGAACTACGATAGAGAAAGAGCGCATTACCTCGTTCCGAATAGCAGCGCACGCCGAAACCTTACACCGTTTCAACGCGAATATCCTTAAATTACATTTAGAAGAAATATTCTGGAATATACCAATAAAAATTACAGTATGCACAGGGAAAATTAAAGTGCCCGGGGAAGATCAACGCGAGGATATCATGCGATATTATCACGAAAGTTTAATAGGGGGACATAAAGGAGTAACAAAAACATATCAGCGAATACGAAGTCACTTCGAGTGGCCGCGAATGCGTCGGGACATTGAGAACTTCATACGAAACTGTCACAGTTGTCAAGAACAAAAGCTCGTCCGCATAAAAACTCGTGAACCAATGCTTATAACGGATACACCAGCCAAACCGTTCGACAAAGTGGCTCTCGACACTGTTGGTCCTCTCCCTATGACCCCTAGTGGAAATCGGCATATTTCAACTATTCAATGTCAACTATCAAAATTCTGTATGGCAATTCCATTACCGGATATTCATGCGCTTACCGTCGCCGACGCTTTGTCGCGCTATTTCATCGCAATTTTCGGAGCACCACGCGCTATTCTGACCGACCGCGGAAAAAGTTTCATCAATAATTTAATGCAAGGCATAGCTCGCGTATTTAGAATAAACCACGTTACAACATCTGGTTACCGTCCCCAGACTAACGGCTCACTAGAAAGGAGCCTTATCGTTCTTACCGAATATTTAAAACACTATTTGGAAAGATGCGAAGACTGGGATTTGCTATTGTCCTTTGCGACCTACTCGTACAACACTTCGGTACACGAAGCGACGAACTTTACCCCGTACGAAGTAGTATTCGGTCAGTTAGCCAGGCATTTACGCCGTTGTCTCGTAACGAAATTCTAACTTACCCATCATATGTACAAAATTTGGTACAGCGATTAGACGAAATTCGCTCAATAACACGGAAAAATATAGATGACAGCAAATTACGTTCCAAACTATACTACGACCGTAGAAGTAACAAAATTAATTTCAAACCAAAAATTCATGAAACACTTCGATAAGCTAAAACATGCTCATTCCAAGGAAAAACCGCCTTGAAGGTATTTGGAATCGTTTAACAATAGCCGATACGGTAATAGAAAGCTTAATAAGTTAAAACTTTAACCTTGCCAACTTAAACAACAGACCTAAAAATAAATAATAAAATTTATTACCTAATTCTAAAAATGCATAACTCTTGACCACACTGTATTAATACAACGCTCGAGTTCTTCATATCTCCAATGTCGGACGCGCATGCCGCCGCGTCGTCAGCACAAATACCAAATGCTTAGTACAGTAAATTCCCGAGACACCTGACCGCTGATTTCCGGCCTCATATGGGAATCCGTTCACCCCTTCCCATGTCGCGAAACATTACCGGAAACGAAAAATTTTTTAACTTCATCCCTCCCGAACTAGTTTTCGACAACCGCAACATGCCGACCCCAAAGGACAAATCCAGCCAGATGCCGGACCAAGCTGAGGAATTTTATGGACTCATGGATGAAGCTCTACCCGAGGGCTATCCTTGCGAACGTAACGATATTAAACAATTACTATGCGTTACCACAAACAGCCTTGACACCGTGTATAGACACAACCACGACTGGGTATGCTCCAAGTGTCTCCCAGCATTGCCGGTCCGCTTCCGGGAACGGTTCTATCCGCATGGAGTACATGCTTTATGCACAAGACGGGGAGCCGATGGAATAGCCGCATGCATCATATGCTCCAAAAATATAACATCAATCAGAGCAGCCGACACCTGTCTCGAATGTACTGCAGAGTATCGCGAACTAGCAGAAAGGGAGAAAGAAACGCTCTACAACGACGAACCTATAGACATTACAATACGTTGGCTAGAGTATATCGAGGAATCAGCGGATCCTAATTGGGAAATATCTCATGATTAAATTGGAAATATCTCACACGATTAAAGAACAACGCCTTCCCAGTAATAAACCATAACTAACTAAGTTTCTTTTCCCTCCTTTAACATCAAACAGCTACATTGCCCATGTTCAATGACACGCGGATGCCTCGGCTAGCCACCCCAGCAGAGAGACTGCTCCCGCCGCCTATCTTGGACAACCTAAGGCGGAGGGAGTGCATCCAGGGACAGGCTTGGGTGGGACCCAATGGCACCATCGTCTGTGATGTGGTGCGAGAAGGTCGTCTCGCCCACGCAGCGGCCCGCTGCCGAGAGTGCCGGAGACGGGCACTCAACAGAAACACCCCGGATCATTGCCCACAATGTATCGCAGTCATCGCTGCGACACCATGGGCCGAGCTGGCGGTGCGGCCCATGATTCAAGTGCCGTCGCACATAAACCAGCCCCTTCCCCCAAGCCCCGTATAATATTATTATTATTATTATTATTATTATTATTATTATTATTATTATTATTTTATATTACTACCTTTTACATTATTATTTCATATATATATATTATCTTAACCATATATATATTATATTATCTCAAAAAAAAAAAATATTTCACCATTTTATATTATTTTCATTATTATATTTATATTATATTATTTTTTAATATACGAGGAATTTTTCTCGGAATCCAGAACTCTTTACAAAATTGGTGTCAGAAGTTCTCGGAATTAAAATTATATTATATTATATCCATTGCGCTATTCTCATTTTTATTTTACAAAAAAAAAAAAAAAATAATAATATATATCAGTCAGTTATATAATAAGCGTTATGTAATAAGCGTTCGATGAATAGGTACACCCTTGTTACACGAAACAGCCTCTTGAGACTGTTTCGTGTCTGGCGAAGGGGGTGTTACATCCGGCCCTGCCGGTGTCCCTTTTCATCGACCTCGCATTGCGAATAAGTTAAGATCGGATACCTTTAGGAATGCGCTTGACGTACGATTCGGAAACCGTTTCTCGGGAACCGAATCGTGGAATGTGCCAATCAGTGATATAGGCGTCAGCACTCAACGCCTGCACATCCGCTGAACTTGGGATTCCTCCCGATTTCAACGGATGCAAAAACGAAGGTTCCCGAACGCGGCTCGTGTCTTGCGAGGATCAGCTAGTATATAAATCCGCGAACACACCCCACGGCTGCTTGGCCGCTGCTGCTCTTTTATTCCGCTGTCAGTACGTTATCATCGTGGTGATTACCGAAATCTTGTAGTCGCGGACAGGTTAACTTCACGCGTTGTCGTTACCTACGAAAGTCCGACATATAATCGGTTAAGATCACATCGAACCTTTATCATCAATCGAACACGCACTCAGCGTCGCGCTTTGGTCATCAAATACTAAATTATTGTAGTCACGGATAGAGTAATCGTACGCGCGCCGCGTCGTTACCGAGGAAAGTCCGTTGTTAATTAGTAGAGACCCGTGTCGCGAGTGATAGTTGCCGACAAACAGATCCTTGCAACAGCACAGCCCTGGGACAACAACAGATAGCTGGTACATCTAAACTGTAAGACAGACAAGCGGTAACGTACCTGAATAATTGTATACTTGATTTCCTAAAACCGATATTGTAATATAAACTCGTTATTTTGTAACATTATATATATATGCTAAACCTTGGAAACAATCATTGCAATCCCGAATTGCTCTTTCCCGTTAGCGAATACAGTTAAGGTGAGCTTTAGCTCTTTAATTGAAGACAAGGATCCCAAGAATGAGTCCCAGATAAGTTGGGACGTAACATAGAGGTCGGTGTAGAGGCTATTGGGTTCATATCGGGTAAACTGCTTAATCTTGTTTTTTTTTTTATATTTGGCGGTTTCGAGAGATTTAACCACAAATTTGATTGTATTTTATCTGATTCTTTGATATTCGGAGTGGATAATGGTTCGCTTCCGATATCTGTGTTATTGTGTAGATCATAATTTCTGAACGTGTTGCTGACAATTGTCTTCAGTGGTTCAGTAACAGGTTTAAAGTGTTTTTCCAACACAATCTCTTCATCTATTTCAGCAATTTTCAATTCACGATACTTTCAACGAATCAAATCGTTCATTGTTGTAATCTGTTTCGCTATCCTCTCACGATCTTCAACGCTGCTATTGCTCATGTTGGAACACTGCTTTCTCAACGTATCGGACATAACTAGACATATTACGATATTGCAAAGTCATTAAATCCTTTTCTATAGCGACTATTCCATAAAGCACTGTCTTTGTCAATCACTACAAATCCATATTTTTCTTGTCAGCAAGCGGTACACAATTTGCAGGAATTCTCAAAAGACATGTCAGTGTTCACATGATCGTTGTATACATGCTTCAGATTTGTACCATCCTGTTTGAACATGATCAGCAGGTTCGCGTTGTCGCCTATCGGATGCTTCGAAATCTTCGCATATGTCTGACAAAGAGAAACAGTCAACGTCCGAGTGCCTACCCATTGCAAAGTATTCTCTTACCGCGTTTTACTTATCGCATGCCACGTCGTCAAAGATAAAAATGGAATTCGGAAGTGCCTCGCTCGGTGGAACGACGTCGCTGTTATTCGAATATGTAAAATAACCAATTTCGTCTATCGACGAGAATATATTTTCTAGATATAGATATTTCGGTTGTTGCAATGATTTCGAGTACACGTATACATTTTCGAAGCGAACACCGTGCGGACTTTCTAACAAACTAATCAGCACGTTCGTTTTGCCGCAATTCGATGGGCCGCAGATGATACCACGTATAGAGGTCGGTAGCATATTTTGCGTATTTTGCTTCTTTATTCCAGTGATAAGGTAGGGTTACATTCCTTGTTACACTACTAAGTGATTCGCCATCTTTTACATATCGCCTATTATTATTCGGTCGTCTCTCATCCTTCCATACCATCAGTGCTTCTACCTACCATTCTGCGCGCGTTGTTCAAATCAGATTTTCCTCTCATTCGTCCATACGTAGACTTCTGCCTGCCTGCGCGTACATTCAAATCTTTCATTCGTACATTCGTACTTTCGCATTTGATTTTAACTTTATTTTTACATTTTTATTGTTTTCTCACTCATCCTTCCATTCCTGTGTATAAACCGTTTTTTTTAACAGATTTTTACTTCAAGTTTTGTACTCATACTTTTGCACACCTTTATATGAATAAATATAATTTGTGCTTTTTACTTTACATCGCTATTATTCTTATGTAGTTTCCTTTTGTCCTTCCATTCCAATAATAGTGATTTCTAGATTTTGCGTTTGAATCTAAATACTTGCATTCATGCTTTGCTCGCTTTTTTGAACTTTCATTTACGCTGACTTTACTTTAATTTTACTTATTCTTTCTTTCCTTACAGGCCACTCATACTCCGGATTTTATAACACTGGTACACGACGCTTCGCTTCCGAGTTACACAAAATAGGAATCATGATAACATCTATATTAGACTTTCTTATACTTATTTACGCACGCTTATCTCTAAATTGGGCTCATAGGAATTTTCTTTTATTTCTTATTCTAGTAAGAAACATGTTTTAGGTTGTTTAAAAGAATTCTGTAAGTCAAACGTGTGTATTAACTCAGACTGATATGTGTTTTATGTTCTGTTTGTACTCATATATCATTGTATATATAGCTTTTTATCAAAAATATATATTATTTTCCTCACTGTAATATCTTAAATCTATTTTTGTAATCTAAATCTTACATTTTGCAATACATTTGGCAATTCTACTTAGTAACGATATCAATATAATATAAAAACTATATGTTAAATATATGAAAAATAAAACAAACAATAAATATGACTCGCGCACCTCGGCGGTGCCTCGCTTCTTTCGCGGGTGTCGGGCTGCCGAGTGATCTGACGAGTTGACTCCGGCAGGATTCATTCTCGCTTCTAATTTCTCAAGTAACCGTTCTCTTCGAATGCCAAACGATTTCTGCCGCCCGATCTCAAGCCATCGAGGAATTTCTATTCCCCTCTGCCCTACTCCGTGGTGGGCTTATCCTATCGGAGTCACTCCATCCACGTGCACCCATCATCAAAGAGGACTGACTCTGATTATCGCGGCCGTCCAAAAGTATGTTCTTTTCGGGCTTGTCTTACGCACTCTTTCTTACATATTTTTATGACTAATTTTTGAGTTAATATCTCGAAGGTACTACTCGTTTAGTTTATTTAAATCTATCTCGTTATTTGCTAGTATCACGATATATAAGTTGCTTTTTATTGCACCTAAAGTTTGGTTTTCATCAGTCGTTTTTCTTTACTTTTACTCAGTCTTTTAAGTCACAGTTTCTTCCCTATCGTCTTAAGGAATTTATCTATAGTCGTATGCATTCTCCGTTTGTTCAGTCTTATCAACCCTAACGTTGATTTTCCAACCAGGTCTATATCTGGTCCTGGTTTGTCCCAGATCAATTCCCTTTCCATATTGTACAGTCCACAGTCAAGTAGGACGTGATCGATGTCTTCCTCTTCCTGACCGCAGTTACACATAGGGTCGTCGATTATATTCTTTCTTGCCAGGGAAGCCTTTAGGTTATAATGATTGCACCTGATTCTAGAGATGGTTCTGATTGTTTCTCTACTCAGGTCGTTTTTGAATTTTTGAAACCAAGGCCTGTATTTGGTTCTTCCGTCTTCTAAGCCTATTTCATTCATGAAGAGGATTCCCTTCTCCCTTCCTATGTCGACCATCTTTTCCTTGAATTTGTTCCAAAAATTGTGTCTGAGCTCCGTGACGATTTCCCTCGCTGGTACTTTGTAACTTCTGTCTGAAATTTTCAACGTCTGTTTTTTTGCTTCATCGTCAGCCATTTTGTTTCCGATTAACTCTGTGTAACCTGGTATCCAGCCTATTATTATTTTACCTGTTCTATCCTCCTTTCCCAGTTTCCATGTTTCGACGATCTATGGGTTGTCTCTTGATTCTCTGTAATTGGTATCCACGTTTCTCAATGCTTCTATCGCCGACATTGAATCTGTCAGGACGAGGCAGTTTGCTCTTTGTTCGTTGTTCAGGAATTTTCTCAACCCTATGTTTATTCCTATTAGTTCGGTTGTAAATATTGTAAATTTGTTACTTATCGTTTTCCCTTCGATCTTTACCGATTCGTTGTTCATCGTTATTATTCCTATACCGTTTGACGTATGTTCGGGTATCTTGCTCCCATCTGTGAAATAGACAGCTGTTTCATTTTTATGTCGTGGACGAATTCAAAGTAATCTACCGTTCTTTCGATTGGAATATGTTTATCTTCGATTAGTCTACCTGTCGTTGTATCCAGGATTAATCCTTTGTCTTTT